GTTCTCCTTTCTCCATTTTGCAATCTCATGACGACAGTTACTTAATTTAGTAACAAAGCTACTACCCTCCGCATCACTTTGTAGCTCCCATCCTCTGCCAATTGATTCCAAAAAACCCTCCCTCCCAAGCCATCTCTTATCAAATCTGAATTGTCCTTTATATCGTGGGGCTTTATCCTCCAAAAACGCCACCACTGGTCTATGATCCGAACTCACCATTCCCAAATATTCAGTATAGGAGCAGGGAAATAATGAGTGCCATTCCTCATTTGCTAAAGCTCGATCAAGCCTACACCGCACTAACCCTGTCCCCCGCCTTCCTTGCCATGACATTGTGTTTCCCCGGGCTGGAAACTCAAGTAGACCCGTATGTCTAATCATATTATTAAAAGGTAAGAAAGATTCCGCCGATCTCAAAGATCCTCCCTCTTTCTCGTGATTCCCCGTAATCTCATTCAAATCCCCAATAATAAACCATGGGTCCGATCTTGCCAGACCGTATCTGGTCAACCTTTCCCAAACTTGTTCCCGTTGGTTTACAACTGGACCCCCATACACAAAGGTCAGAAAAACCCTCTTTCCCATCATTACCGCCTCCACATCAATCATACGATTACTCGTGTACAGTATTTGAGTCTGATAATCATTATTATAAAATAAAGCTAATCCACCACTACGTCCAATCGGGTCAACCGTAACCAGCGAATCATATCCTAAATGTACTTGAAAATCCTGAACATAAGGAGACTGTTGTTTAGTCTCTGCTAGAAATAAAAAGTCCAGTTTATTCTTATACCATATTTCTCGAAGAAAGCTAATGGTCCATTTACTTCCCATTCCACGACAATTCCAACTTAGAACTCTCATTAAAAAATCAAATTTTTGCCTGACGGACAGGGGGATCAGATTTGCAGAGATCTGTCCTCTTCCTTGACAGTGCTAAAAGATGACTTTCCAAAACACATACATACCTTCTATTTTGATCCCAACAATTTCGAATAAAAAAACTGTGGACAAGCCATACCCGAGCTATATACAGTGCAGTAGCTCTTATGTAATTCATTAACAGCCATTCATACAGGAACATAATTTGTGAATTATAACCGGGACCCGCATCATATGGGATTTTAAAACCATACTCTTTGTTGTGTAAGATCCTCTCCGGCGGTAAACGAGTGTCCTGAGAAGCACGATAGCCATAAACACCACCAGCCTCCAACCAATATTGTATACGAGAAGCAAGAACTTCAGATTCCCATCTCCATTTCCAACTCGCAACTCTCATTATTCCATAGACCTGGTTTGATGAGACCAGAACCAGAGAGCTCGGGGAAGGAGGAAAAACATCCGATAACAGTAGCCATATGTAGACTTCGGATTCACATTCCTGTAACTCATAAGCCTCAGCTCCATTGACAAACCAAACCCAAGACGAAAGGGAAAAAATCCGCACAATTCCAAAACCATCCATCCATAAGGCCAAAAACTCCATTTTATTCCAATCCAGCAAATTCGAATCCAACAACAACAATAGGAAATAAAGAAGGGAAACCAAACTGAAAGCAGCAGCGGTTATAACCACCAACATTATTAAGACAATGAAAAAATAAAAAACAAAAACTGCAAACCCAGACCCTGCCTCACACATTTCATTCCCAGGAGCCACTTCCATAAAAAATTAGTTCTTTGTAGCTGCGTGAGGGTTTAAAGACCCCTTCTCTTCAACCTGCTTGTTACCACCTCCTCTTCTAACCGCCTGTTTTCCATTCCCACGCTTCAGAACTTGATTGAACTTTTTAGTTGGATTCCCACCAACAGCAGCAACAGAGGATTGCTTCTTCATCCCAACATTCCTATCCCCCTCCTTCCCTGGAACCGCAACCTTCACTTGTCCTGCCATTGTCTGTTCAATCCCAGCTACATGTCCCGCATCCTCCTTATCAATTTCTCCACCTTCTCCATCAGTGAGACTATGAAGGTCCTCCTCCGTAATGAACCCCTCCTTCTCCTGGGGAAGAATCTGTCCATCCTCCACCTCCCTCTCCCCCGTAACAGACATGAGATCGACTTCCTCTGTAAGATTCTTCAAACCACCCCCCTCCTGATCACCGCTGCCCCTGGTCTCTCTATCCTCCCCAATACTCGCCCTCCTGGATCTGAGAGAAGTGGTACTTCTCTCTGCTCTGCGCTGATACTCACGGCTACCATCATCACGTTGACTTCGCTCGTGGTCCCGACGCAAATGACTTTGTCCTGAGGCCTCGCCTTCTCTGTGATATCGGTGAGAAACGTATGACCTTCTACTGGTTCGTTCTGGCTCCTGGGTCCATTTTAAACCCTTGTCCTCATACACCTGACCTTTACCATTACCTGCGTACCCAGAGAAGACCTTCCTCCTGTCTTGATGTCGAGTCTCACCATGAAGCACTACTCCTCGATAGCTTCTGGCCATTTCCTCAACACTCTCTCTGGTTGGCCGTCTATCTTCCTTCTTAGCTGGCGACGCAACCCGCAGAGGGCACTTTGTCTTATGGTGACAAAGGCTGAGACATGTATCACAATACCCAAATAACTTGTCAAACTGGAGGGAAACTTGAGCCTCCTAATCGTCATAAAACTCACCGCCCTTGAGCTCCACCGTAGTATCAAAAACTAGCTCCTTGCGACAATCAAGCACCACTCTGATCTTGCCAAGATCCAAGTCAACATCCGTGGTCACACCAAGTGCATCACCAATACTTTGTAAAACCTCAGCAGACCAAAAATCGGTTGGGAGACCAACCACCTTAATCCAAAACGGAATCTCCGAAGGGTAACAGCTTGTCATCCGTGGCTTCCACCGGGCTAAGGACAACATCCAGTAATCAAAGTGAAAGGGTTGCATATCCAAAACTGCCAACATGTCTTCCTCCTCATTAAAGTGAAACTGAAACTTCCCTTGTCCCAAATCCGCGCCCACCACCTTATCTTCCATCTTCCAAAACTTTGGAAGCATCACAAGTAGTGACTCCATCTTCTGTTCTCCTGGGTTCATGCCTCTTCCCACCAGTGTTTTGGAATAGCTCTTGATCAGTGCCGTATTATCAAAATGTGCCACTGAAATCTTAAGCCTTTTTCTCTTACCCTCCTCACCCTTCAACCCCTCAGCCTGCCCGATCAAAGAACTCTGACTCATGACTCTCGTAAAAAAAGAGGAATCGTCGTACGAAATAGCTTCAGAGTAAAGAAAAAAGAGGAGCAGGATGGAAAATCTTAGCACATACAGGGACCCTTTATATCGAATCTCCACCACCCCTTCTCCACGCCACCAATCTATGATATTAATGCCATATCTCCCCTTAAACCACGGATTCACAGTGATTCCCAGCCAACATATTTCCATAAACCTCAATTGATAGCTAGCACAGATCGTACCTTTTCGGAATCGAAGAATCTTCCCTTTAAACACCAGAGCATCTTGAAGATATTCTCGGTGGAGAATTAGGAAATCGCGTATCCTTTGTACCTGATTAAGCTGCTCCTTTTCCCGTGGTCCAGATCTCCCCAGATCCAGAAATAATCGAGAAAATCTGAAAAGATCCTCAATCCACCTTTGTATTACCAAACTTCCTATAAACCAGATCATAGCCACATCTTCCTTGAAAACCCAATATTCTCCAGAACCGTACACCCGTAATCCTGGATCCCATCCACTCAAAACCATCGGAAACCTAGTGTAGAGCCGCCATCGCCATTGCTATCGATGGAAAATGTTATACGGTGATTAATAAACATATCTTTTAAATAATTTATTATTTTATTTTTTAAAATAATTTACTGATTATTTTTAAGAAAATTAAATGTACAGCAAAACCAAAAAAAAAACAAAATCAATAGCTTAAAAAGCATGTTATATTTTTGCTTTCGTTTATTTACAAAATAAATTATTGTGTTTTTTTTACAAAAAAAATGTTATTTTTCAATTTTAAATTAGATGTTTGATTATTTGGGATATGTTTGTTGATAATATCAGTTTAAACTAATTTAACGGATCTAAAAAATAAAACCATAACCAATATTGACTAAAAAACTCAAAATCTAAATCTAAAATCAACTATAAAAATAAAAATAAAAAACAGAAATTAAAAATTTATACAAAACAATCAACACCACAAATTTCGGATTACTAATTTTATACCAAAACATATTTCAAATAAAGAAAATACTAAATATATAAATTTTTAATTATAAAAATTTTCTGCATTTGGAAAGCGTGGATCAAAATGTAGTTGTTATTTACTCCAAGTTAAACTTGGCTAAACTGATATAGTTTACTTTATTTTTCATATGTTTCAAAACAACATATTTTATATCATAAAAATTTCAAAAAACTAAAATAACAAACTAAACTAAATGCAATTTAACAAAACTCAGACAGTAGTAATTTAATTCAGAAAATATTTGCTATATAATATTTATCAAAAATGAACAAGTGAATCGGTCATATTATTATATACATAAAATTGTATGTATAAAAATTTTAAAAATAAAATAAAATTAGTAATAGCAATATAATTGTTTTAAATCACCTAAATATTAGATGGGAAATTGTAAAGAATACCACATTCATACTACACATTTTCAACTTTACACTAATCACTTACGTTAAAAAATTTAATGGGAAAAATACTATTTTACCCCTAATTAATTAACTGTAACATCGTCTTCTCCTTCCCCGCGACGTCGCCGGAACCAGTCCTCACCGTTGCGAAACTGACGTCGCTTCAAGCTTCTCCACGTCGCTGGCTCGATTGGTGACCAAACCACAGCACGAAAGCTCCAAATCAAACTTCTCCGGCGAGTCCTTGCATCACCACCGGCGTATCTGTTTTTACAACCGGCAAGTTAGATCTGATTCAATCCGCCGAAGTCTCGCACAGTTTCCCCGTCACCAAACCTCGAATTAGGGTTTCCGATTTTCGAAATCGAAATTTTGGGGGTTTTGGCGATTGTGGAGAGAGATGCCGAGGAGCACGAGGCACAAATCGAGCAAGCACAAGGACACGAGAGACCATTCCGATTCGGAGGAAGAGAAGAAGAGTAGTAGCAGCGCCGCGATTAGGGTTTCTGGTGAGAAGCAAAAGGAATATTACGATAATGGAGAGTACTGTGAGGAGTACACGTCATCATCTTCGAAGAGGAGGAGAGGGAATGGTGGGGAGGATGAGAAAGGGGAGAGTTCGAAGAAGAGTAAGAGGGAGGAGGGAGATGGGGAAGAGGTGAGGAAGAGTAGTAGCGGGAAGCATAAGGAGTCTAGTAGAAGGGAGGTTGACAAGGATAAAGAGAGTAAAAGTGAGAAGCTTTATGATGATGATCATCATCATAGATCTAAGGGTTAATCTGATAAAACTGTTAAGATGACACAAAGCCTTTTAGTTTATATCTTTGGATGTTGCTTTTGAGACACAGTGTTGGTTGCAGTCTGTCGAGATTCATTTGTTTTTCTGTTGTGTTTGTGTATGAATCAAAGTTCTGGTTTTAATTGACTTGAGTGTTTGTGTTTTATGTTGCTTCTGTGACACAGTTTTGGTTGCAGTCTGTCATGATCAATCTGTTTTCTTACGTGTTTGATTATGAATCAAGTTCTGCTTTTAATTGACTTGAGGGATTGCCTTTGATGTTGCTTCTGAGACATAGTTTTGGTTGCAGTCTATCATGATCAATTTGTTTTCTCTCGTTTTTGTCTATGAATTGTGGATAAGAAACTTAGATGATGCCTTTTCTAGTGGAAATCTTTACATACCCAAGTGTACTGTTTTGGAGCAATGTTGTGATTAGCACTTGGAGAATTTTATTTCTTGCTACTTTGATTCTTATGGTATTTGAGCCAGCATGTAACTGGGTTAAAATAATATGAAAAATCTGCAAACTCTATTTACTTTTTTTTTTTTGCTGAACTCTGTTTACTGCAAACTCTATTTACTTAGATGCCTAATATAATTGGAGAATTGTGGAAGCGACAAAAGGTTTTCTTGCATTGAGTTGCTGCTGATCTTTCTGTTTATTTTGGATTCAGAGTCGAAAGCCTATGATCAGCAAAGGAGTCTAGGCACTGAAAACCATACTGAGAAGCGATCAAGGCGTAAGAGGGATGATCATGGTGCTGGAGACAAGAATCAAGATAACAGCGATGATGATTACATTAAAGATGGAAAACACAGAGGAGAAGTCCAGAGATAAATATCTGGAAGACAAGGAAGAAGACGTCAAACAGACAGGTGAAAAGCAGAGAGAAGACAGACCTACTAAGGAGCATCATAAGTCTGATGGAAAGCACCTCCCAGAGGAAAGTAAAAGAAAGTCCAAATTACAGGATACTGACCATGGTCATGAGCCTGACAGTGAACTTGATGGATATCACGAGCGTGAACGGGACCGCGGTGACCGAGCTCGGGATCATGATCGTGACTATGAGCGAGACAGGGAACGTGATCGGGATCGTCGTGATTATGAGCATGAGAGGGAGAAAGACCGTACCCGTGACTATTATCATGAAGGGAAACGAAGTAAAAGCGACCGGGAAAGGGATAATGATCGTGATGTCTCGCATCTAGATGAACAAAGTGGTCGGTATAGAGAAAGAAGAGAAGGGAGGAAATCTCCAGATTATCAGGAGGTCGTCATGGACACTAGAAGTAGCCGAGCAGGGCCTGATGGTGATGTGATAAAATCAGAGCATCAACCTTCCAGTTCGGTGGTTCAAGAAGAGAATGGGTATGTTTTTCCTCTTTAACCATTTTTATTTTTGTGTACTTAGAAACGTTTGGTCTGCTGTCTTTGGAGGCTACGTGTACTTAGCTACGTGTATAACAATCTGATGTTGTTCTGTCCAAAAGCCTTTATACTTGAACATCCAACTTTTGTAATTCTTTTTCCATTTTTTCTTTTGTTGTATCAAAACTTGTTGCCTCCAATGTGTTATCACTCTTGTCTCTTCTATCAGCTTTTTAGCATGTTTCCAAAGAATATCAAACTCAATTGCTGTCAAACACCTCCAAATCAACCCATTCTTTAACAACAAACCTGTAACGCTTCTCTTATATACTCCCTCCCTTGATTTACAAAGATTTATTAGAAATTATAAGCACTTATAAATAATTTCTAAACCCTTATAAATGATTTATAAGCCCTTAAAAATGATTTATAAGCCTTTATAAAATGTTTTAAGATTTGTTATAAGAACTTAAAACTAATTTATAAGGGTTTATAAAATCATTATATAAGATTTGTAAACTAATTTGTAAAAGTTTATAAACTAATTTAATAAGGTTACTAATTTAAGGTAGATCACATGGTGGAGCTTGGGTTTAGAAACACTATCAATGATTTATAAACCCTTATAAATATTTAAAAAAACCATTGCAAATGATTTATAAACTTTTATAAATTGTTTATAAATATCTATAAATGATGGTAACCCTTTATAGGTTCTTATAAATTATTTATAACCATTTATAAATGAGTTATAAATCCTTTTAGCTGATTAATAAACTCTTTAAAATGATTATAAATATTTATAAATATTTATAAACTGTTATAAATGTTTTATAAACCCTTATAAATGAGTTATAAATCCTTATAGATAATTAATGAACTCTTTAAAATGATTATAAATATTTATAAATATTTATAAACTTTTATAAATGTTTTATAAATCCTTATAAATTATTTATAAATGGTTTATAGATTTTATAACTTGTTTTATAAGTCTTTATAAATTGATTTATAAATCTTTATAAATTCATTATTAAATCCTTATTATTTGATTTATAAACTTTCATAGATTAACTCTTACAAATGGCTTCATAATCTTATAAACATTAACAAACCCTTATAGAACCTTTATTAAACTTAATGTACACTTACAAAGACTTTGAAATAATTTTTAGAATTTATAAAGCCTTACAGAAAACTAATAATAATTTATAAATGATTTTATAAATATTTATAAATGATATATAAACCATTATAAATCTATCTATATATATAAAGTAGACTTCTCTCTTTCCAAGAGAAGCCACGTCACTAATTCATTTTACCAGAATGGGATACCTGTCCGTTTTAGTTAAACGGTGCATTTTTCACGAATCGTCAAGAAGCGGGCTGATAATGAGTGTGGGCTTTATGTCTCTTTAATGGACTCGATATCAAGAAACCCTAAGCCTATCAATCCCTTTCTTTGTTCCCGTCATTGAAGGATCCAAATGCTGAAGTCGACATGAAGAATATCTTTGTTTGGTTTGGATCGTGTCGTTTGATTTTGTGTAAGACGAATCGTCGTGAAGAATCCATGGTCGAGTTTTGATTGGTGTCGGTTTTTATGAGATTCTTCCTCTGAAACGTTACGAGATTCCATTGAATTCGACATTAACAACCACCTTTACTTCTTCGACTACAACAAGCACTTCAATCATTCAAAGCTTATTATCTCTCTTGCGACGGTGGATATCCTTCTTCCATCATCACATACTCTAAGGTTATTTTCGTTCTTAAATGATTTTGGGAATCTCTCTCTCTCTCTCTCTCTCTCTCTGTTTACCTGTTGAATCGATTTAATGATGGGGATTTACAGGAGACAGGGCCAGAGCCATAACTGTGAACTCCTTCAGTTCTTACTCTGTCCGACAAAACTTCCGACAGCCTCGGCAATTCTTGCTTGCCTTAACAACGGTGGCAGTGAAGATGGCGGTTCTTGCTTGGCTCAATGCCGGGGATTGGAGCATCGTGAATTGAGAGTGGTTCGGGCAGGACGACGGTTTGGCTTAAAGCTCCGATGAGGCGATGCTGATAATATAGTGAGGTCAAATTATTCCGGCGACGTTGCGTAATCACAGTGAACTGCTTGGCCTAGCCCAACACCAATACCTAGACAAAGTCTTATTTTTTTTCATGATGAGTTACACTCAAATCGTGAATCTTTTTTTTTAAGGTCAAAGTATTAACTCCTAGAGTTCCTAAAACCAAGCTTGAGGAGAACAAAATGGAGAGCTTGCTCGACAAAGAAACTATAATTTCTTAAATCAAGTCTTTCTACAAAATTCATGGATAGTTTGTTCAAATTCATTGTCAAAGAAGATAGTAAAATTTCTAACTTGCAATCTTTTTTTCTGTTTCTTTATTGATATAATCTTCTTGATGAGCTTTATACACATTTGATAGTTGGAGTAAGGAACGGTACAGTTTATTGGATTGTTTAGCTAACAGAGACATGATGTCAAGTGATGCCTATGTTGTCTTGACTCTTGAATCTAGGGAAACAAGTAAGTGTATCTCTTTGTGACTGTTTACTAAGCTGCATCCATAGACTTTGTGGATTGTAAAAGCTATTGTCATGTTTTGATGATTGTTCAGAAACTTCAAACAACAGTTGAAGAGTGTGACAGCTCTGTGAATGAGCACCTCTCTCAGACCTTATCAAGGATCATTGTTCTAAAGGCCCAGGTTTTCTATAATCCTTAACACCGTTCTTCATCAATGTCATATATTTTCTATAAATTCTAGCTTACCCAATTCATCTATCCAACTTTCATGTCTTAAAGCAGACCAGGGCCAGTTAAGCAAGTTGCTCGAAAAGGAGAGGCAGAGAGGGGCAGATAATTGAGTATCTGGCAGTTAAGGAGGAAGCAGATACCTTGGAAAATTGAACAAACCAACCTGAAGTGGAAATCAGGAACTGCAGAGAAAACATAAGAAAGTGTTGCAAAAACTACTGCTACACAACGAGCTTATGCAATAGGTGTTGCGTAGTCTTACAGGAGCAACAATCACTTCAGACTTTCAGACTCTGCTTCTGAGTAACTCTGCCTCTATCTCCAAGACTCTTCTTCTTAGTTGTTAATGCAGTTGGGAGCTATAACAAAATTACGTTCTTTGCCTTGATCACATTATTTTTTATTTACAGTTATTTTATGACTAGAGAAACAAAAATATCTGCAAAGTTGAGGACGAATGAATCTATTTAACAAAATTGTTTTTGAGCTCTCTGTTTTTGCATATTTTTCTTACTAATAAATAATGAGTTGCGAAGTGCAGCCGTGCAGGTACCTCCTTTACAAGCAAGTGCTGTGTTTTCCTATTCTCTGCTGAATAATCTCACGGGATGATCAGTTATACCCATATCAGTGATTTGTTTAGAATTTTAGTGTACAAGAGTTGTTTCTGTGGTTTCCGGTTAAAGGAATCAGAGTTGACGTGGGTCTGATCTTATAAAACTTCTTTAGATAGTGGATAATTTAGTAATATACATTTTCCTATTACTGAAAACATATATTTAAGTTACTAAAAGGAGTGAAAGCAAATTCTGAAAAACTTTTAAGTATTATTTTATGACATTTTGGAGAATTCATTTTTTATTTTTTAAAAACCAGTTATATTTGTTTGTAGATATTTATCGTGTTTAGCCAGTAATTCACCACCATTAGTTACCTGGTTTTAAATTGAGAAGTGATATATAATTACAACAAAATACAATCAACTATTCGATTTAATCAAGAAAAATATTTTCTTGGGTATTTTGTTTTCTTGAATAAGACATCCATTTCTTAATTACACATGACACATCTGTGTAAAATTTATAATTCACATTTTTAAACATTTGAACTATACATATTAACAATACATCAAATGCTCCATAAATAAATTTTCATAGCAAACCGTACATTAAATAGTTATGGTTTTATATTTTTATTAGATAGCCTGGATTTTAGTAGTAAAAAAATAAAAGAATTGCAAAATTTATTTTTTTCAATTTTTTGTTGATGTGAGTTTGAAGAAACATAAAAAACATGAATATATCCGTCCTCAAATATAATAATTCATAAATATATACATGTTGTTTATAAATATTAAACAGCAACACCTAATTTATTTTTAAAAGAAAAAGATAATAAATTGGCTTTACTTTTTCTAATTGTTTAAATTCTAAAATTCAAAAAAATATATTAATAATCTATTAAATTCAAGAAAATTAAATATTTTGAACACTGTAAAATAGATATATTTTTTTAATATAGTAACGTATATTTAATTTCTAAGAGAAAAAGAAATACTAAAAATATGTAGAAAAAGTAGTGAAAATTATAGTTATAAATAAACTAAAAATACATTAAAATTAAAAAAAAATTTATTTTGCATGCCCGCCCGTAGGGCGGGTCCGGTCCTAGTAATTTATAAACCATTATAAATAATTCATAAACTAATTACAGATGATTTTATAACTATTTATAACACTTTAAGATTATTTTATAAACACTTTAGATCATTTAATGTTTATTAATGTTATAAATTCACTTTTATTTCTTATTAAATCATTTATAAATGATTTTATACTCTATAAACATTTTAATGGTTTATAAGCCTTTATATATAATTTTGTATATTCTTATACGTAATTTGTAAACCTTTATATGTAGTTTATATATATTCTTATAGATGTTTTATAAACCCTTATAAATGATTTATAAGCCTTTATAAAATGTTTTTAAGACTTTATAATTGAATTACCTTTAGAATTTCTACAAATCCTTATAAATGGTTGAATCAACATCATTTATAGCTCTTCCTCCAACTTCTTAATTTTGTACTAATTCTCAATAATTTCTTGCAAAGTTTTGACTTATGATGAGACACTCCAAGACTGTAACTTAAGATTCTACTCCATACAAACCAAAACAGCACAAGAAATAGATATAAAACATGTGATTTATCATATCATCTACAAGGGTCTGGACAAACATCATTTTCTGGCTATGTAGTAGTAGTAGTCCCTGTCTCAGGAGCAGCTTCAGGCTTTTCACCAGGTGTATCAGCAGGTGAAGACGAAGACACTTTCTTGTTTGCATTATCACTAGGACAAATTCAAATCAATGTATAATCAAAGCTTACATTAGTAAAGCCGCAATAGCTGCAGATTAAGAGATCTAATCACCAAGACTTCACAGTTTCTAACTCTTACCATCACAACACTAAGGCAGCTACTTTACACTATATGCAGAATTTTCCTAATCAAAAATTACATCAGTAAACTACAATAGACTGACATGAAGAGACCTAATCACTAAGATATAACACTCTCAAGCCTCAGCATCACCACACAAAGATAGCTAGTTTACACTATATGCAGAACTTACATAAACAAAGATCACACTATTACATGACAAGCTTGCAACTTGCAATGCATAGTCTCTTATGTTTTACACACTATTCCCTAACTCTCTGTAAATATCACAATGTTGAATTTGTATGTACTCTTAGGTTTTAGATTCATTGTGGCATAACCTAGTAAATAGTAAGAAGTTCAGAAAATGTTGAAAGATTCCAAAAGTGTTGATATACCACTACAAAACTATTGTTACAACAAGGATGACTACGAAGAATCATCATTGCCTCATGTCATAAAAACATGACTAACTACACTAATTTTCTTTCCATTATTTCAACTTTGTATAGACACAACAAAACAAGTGTTATAAGAGACGTGACACAATAAAGACAGGGACACTGAAACTCAAAATTAACACAAGGTAATACAAAACTAAAAAATATTTATCTATTTGATCTGCTAAAAGAGAGGCTCCGTGGTTTTTGTTGTGTGGTTCTTTGTACTTCGTGCTTCTTTACCCACAAGCTTCGTCACCGCTAGTCCTACCTTGCTTTGATACTCCTATACCACAAAAAAGAAGTCATATCTCCTCAACAATAAATACCCATTCTTGCGTTCAAGTTTTTAAACTTTGATTCAATAGTGATATGTATCAAACGTTTTGATGCTTACCACTGGCGAAGCACGTGTTATGGATGATACAGCAACTGCAGATGCTATAATAGCTTCTGCAGATGCTTGACAAACATTCACTTGCTCAGATGATGAGCTTTTCTCTTTGATCATGTTAACAAAGTAGGAGACACAATAAATTACACAACTCAATCTTGGCTCCTCTTCGTTTTTGTCAAAGAACAAACCAGTGAGATGCTTCACACAAATCGCTAGGCAAGACATGAGTGTACCTCGAGTTTTAGCATGTCTTGTGCTCTCGTATAAAGAAGTCAGCTTACCCCAAAGATGGATCACCGAATCATAACTCAACGAACCAACATAAATGCCTTCAACAGATTCTTTTTTGAACATAAGAAGATTCCACTTACAAAGAATCCTCTCGTCTCTGCGAGACTAGTCTTCTGATTTCAGAAATTGCAGAAACCACTTCAGTGTTGCAAGACGAATTTCATAAGATTGATCAGAGATACAACGAAGGAGCCTATCTTTAACATCAGGAAAGTCTAATGCCTCAGGAACTTTCTGCAATTGGTTTTCGAGTAATCTGGAAAGCTCCAGCTGCTTCATCAGATGGCTGAAACACGCAACCAAAGTAAGATACAACTGCTTGTTCCCTAAGCTCAGCAATCATAGGGTCATAATAGGAGAAACCATAAGAAGCCTCTGCATCCAAGCAGCTTGTAGATAAAACTATAACAGCTGTAGATGAAGAGATCTAATAACCAAGATAGCTACTTTACACTATACACAGAGACTCAAACCAATGTGTACTCAAAGACTACATCAGTAAACTATAACAGTTACCACAGACATAAAGTTAGCTACTTCACACTAATTTCAGAATCTCCACAATCAACATCCCTAAAAGATTCGATTTTTACTCACCTCCAAATCAATAGAAAGAGTCTCAGCAACATGACGCATGATAGAATGAACAAGCTTGCTCTTATTATACCTCTCTTCACAAGTCTGAATATCCTCCTCGCTAACCTACGCTTACTCAGATCTCGTCTGGTTCGTGCGTGTATTCTCGATCATCGCCGACGCCGCCGGACGTCTCGTCATCGTCGCTTGTGGAGCAACGGGAACAGTACAATTGACATCAGCAGCGAGGAAATTCTCTTGCTGTTATTATCAGGAGTATAGCTAGACGTCCCGGAGAAGCTCAACTTCTGGAGATGACAAATTGGCCGTCGGGGGACGAGGGAAAGAAAATAGAAGAGAAGATAGGAAGGGTAGTATTATCTTTTGTCATTAATAAATTGTGTATTTATGAAAATGTCCCTTAAATAGTGATAAAGTTGAATTGTGGTATCACAAATTGTCCCATATTAGATATCAAACAGTTGCAAATGTTAATCTCTACTATCAACTAATATTTTTCAGTTATTTATTACTTTATAACAAATTTGATTCGATTTCGAGATTATATGCGTCTCTAGCTTTCAACTTCCCATGATTCTTGAAAACGGTAGAATACAAAGTAGCGGTAAATATGTTGCTCACATCAGTAACTTCAAACGAGGATTTAAGTAGTAGGAAACAACTCATCCCAAAGACGCTGCTTATTACAGTACTATAGGAGCTTTTATTTAGATACTTGCGCCTAAAATTTGCTTAAGCAGTCACGCCCAACAGTTTCTTCAGGTCCTTCTGAAAATTGCAGATTTCAAAAACGACAGCCATTAAGAGAAATGCCTGGGTCTCTAAATCAAACTAAAGGGATTCCATTACATGCGAGACAATTACCTCAATGCTGAGAGGGGAAGTAGTTGGAGCGTAACGGTCCACAACATTCCCATCTTTGTCAACCAAGAACTTGGCGAAGTTCCACTTGATTCCGTCTCCAAAAAGCCCACCTTTGCTTGATTTCAGGAACTTGTAGATTGGAGCAGCCGTGTCACCATTCACATCAACCTGCATTTGCATAATAGTTCAAAAGCAAAGTCCAAGATGAGAACTAACAAATCGTAAAAGAAACAACTGAATGACCTCACTACACACACAAACAACATACTAGAATTATTTATAATTGTTTTATGTATAGTGTCTGAATTATTTCTACAGTCAGTGTTCTCTGACATAGTGTGTTTACTGGCGAAAAGCAACAGAAACTAATAGCTTATTTATTTAAACATGGGATGACTCTTGTTTCAAGGAACTAACAAATAGCCCCAAGATGGTAACATAAGACCAGTTAACTTGTTGAATTAGAGTAATGAACAAGAAAAGTGTGGTTACCTTGTCAAAGATTGGGTACTCGGCCTTGAAACGGGTACAAGCAAACTGAACAATCTCTTCATTAGAACCAGGTTCTTGGTTCCCAAATTGGTTACATGGGAATGCAAGGATCTCAAACCCTAATACAAAAAAGAATAATTCGTTCATTGAACAAACAGAAAAACAAAACAAAAAAACGGTAAAGAACAAAATGATACCATGATCTTTGTACTTCTGGTAGAGCTGTGCAAGCTCAGTATAGTTCGAATTGGTCAAACCACTGCACAATAAAAACGAGTCAAGTACCAAAGAAACTAGTCACTAACTAATGATTCAGATATATGAAAGTTTACCACTGAGAAGCAACGTTGACAATCAGCAGAACCTTCCCCTTGTAAGTACTTAGATCAACATCGTTTCCCTTCGCATCCTGTCAATTCATAAATTTTTCAATTTTGGCTCAATCAAATTCAAAAACGGATACCGACCCACGATTCAATTTACAACCTTGGATAAACCCAAAAGAAATAAAATCGTACCTTGACGGTGAAATCATAGACAGACTTGGGCTCGGTGGAAGCAGCCATGGAATGTTCCGATCTGGAGAGTTTAGCTCCCGTTGTTGATAATGGAATCTGATGACGAGAAGTGAAAACTGGTTTCGCAGAATTGAACTTAGACGAGAACGGAGAGAGCGATGATGATGAAGCTCGAACCAGAAGGTTGGTTCTTCTTATATAGAGAAGCCGAAACGAGGATCTCAACATTTTCTACCAGATTCGTTTTCCATGACGATTAGATATTTGTTACTTAGAGAGGGTCAAAACCGTAATTTCCTTCACTGGAAGGTACACGTGTATACTTTGAAAGACGCCACGTAGGAGACTGGTCGGTGTGCTTGCTTCATCCGTTGCGTTTACAGTGTGCGGCTGTAATGTGAACGCGAACAATATTTCGGATCTTTAGGACAACAATATTCCATGAACTAAAATATAAAGAAACGAAAAAACACATTGTTCATATTAATACTCACATATTTTAATATATTTTGAACAATGTGGAAATTACCAGTAATTTTTGGATCTGTATCATGAGGAAGAGAATGTGTTTTTGTTCAGTTCTTTGAGTCGAGTTTGGGCCGGTTCTTAGATCCGGATATCTTAGATCCGAAAAGAACCAGCCCAAACCCGACCCAAAGACCCAAACAAAAACACATTCTCTATTACATAATACATATCCGAAAATTACTGGTATTTTACACGTATTTTAAATATAGATCCAAACTGACCCTAGAAAAATCGGCCTCAATATGAACAAAATATATTCAAAAATTACATTTTTCAGTCAAACAAAAAAAATCAATGTCTTTGCCACCTTAGTATATTTTTGAAAATTCCTTAAAAATACACATACTAAATTTTCTTTGCTAAAAAAATACACGAACTTTTTTGGTTTCCCAAAAAATACACAGACTAATTTTGGTTGTCCACAAAATACATGAACTTTTGAATCAAAGTTAACGTCGTCTAACGGCATCTAACGGCGTCTAAATGTTCTGTTAATCAGAGTTAACGCCGTTAAAATCGAGGTGTAAAACCTTCAAAATTCAAAAGTTCATGTATTTTATAGACAACCAAAATTACTCTGTGTATTTTTCGGGAAGTCTAAAAAGTTGATGTATTTTTTTAGCAAAAGAAACTCAGTTGATGTATTTTTAAGGAATTTTCCCTTCTTATAATTTATTCTTAATATATATTGTCCTTAGAACTTTTAAGGGATTGAAAAATATTACTGTTTACATTAGATCTATGTTTTGCCGGGATTATATTATTTTTTTAATATGTATATATAGTTTGTATCCTTTTAATTTTTTTTCGATTTATTTTCACACTAAAATTATCGTATAATAACAAATCAACACAAACTCAAACTTGACATCTAGTTCCAATTCCACACAATTGACCTAACATGATCCGATTAGAAATGTAAACTAAATTAACCCAAAATAAAACTCCAAGTCCTAAATCCCCAAATCAAAAAAATTGTGTCTCTCTCTGTAAAGAATCAATGATGAAGAGTGTAGAAAAAACAACAACATGTAATTTCCAAGCCTCTCTTGTTTTGTTTCTCTTTTATTTATTTTTTTCAGAAATCAAATATGGAGGATTCATGGACTGATGTTAACCTGGAATGGAATGAGGTTTATGAATTCAAAACGCCAGACTCACTACTCATTGTCTAAGGGTGTATTGGAAAGAGAATAGATGAGAAGGATTTTGAATTTTTGATTTAGGGTTCTTAGGAAAATTGAAATTGATTTGGGTGAGGGGGGGGGGGGTTTAACTTTTAGTAGGTGTTGGGTCAAGTATGTAGTTTAGGAAGATTGGGTCTGGTTTCTAATTTGTTTGGTTCTCTGTTTACGTGTAGTTTAGGTTCTAAACCACTAAAACCAACTCAGATATTCATCTGGGGAGAGTTGGGATTCGAACTTTCGGTTTGGTAAGAAATAGGTTTACATACTTAAATTGTGTGGAACTAAGATTAGATTTAAATTTTGTGTGGATCTGTTACTATATGATAGTTAGTGTAGAAATAAGGTCATTTATCATTTTTTGTTCTTGTAAATAATTTCAATATATTTGGGTTGACATCGATTAGCCCCATGAATTATTCAAACCAACCATTTTCACCCGAAATTTTGGCTTCATCAATCATACATCTAGACAAACAAAGGCATCAATTTCCCCAATTTTAGTTAAATAATTTAATCACGTTTAAATTAAATTGATCACCCAATACCAAACCCGATTAATAATAAACCTGATCTTAACCCTCTAACCCGATCCACTAAATTAAAATTGTCACATTCTCTCTAAAAGATTATTGTTCTTGTGTACACAAAGTAATTTTCTTTCCTCTTCGACAATAGGAGAAAGATAACGACAATTAATGAAGACGAGGCAACTCAAGAGTAGAGCATTCCGGTTACTATCATATTAGTGAAAAAGAGACAGAAAGATTGGCTCCATGTCTTATCCAGAAAAAAATGAAGAGTAGGAAGTTGAAGAAGAGCTTGAGGATAGGTATAAGTATGAAATCAAATAATCAATAGTTAAGTTTGAGGATGAGGAGTTTATTGGGAAAAATATTATCCTAGAGAGTTACGGATGAAGACGGAGACTATTTCGATGTTAGAGATAAGAAACAAAAAAAAAATATGAGGATGAACTAGAAGTGTGAACAATTTTTTGGTCCGGGTTTGAGTCCAAAAAAACTGTCTTAGAGTATGTTTTTTGCAAAGGTTGAAACATTGAATAAAATAGGTGGAATAAGACGAAGCTTAGCTTCAAATATGAGAATATAGGCAAATGAAAATGAATAAGTAATTTTACTTTGTTTTTTGTTAGCATTGAGGAAAAATAATTATTTAAATATGTGAGAATTTATAAAACTTATGCTATTATAAGTGTTGCAATAATACCTAATATGACGAGCATTAGATATAACATCAGTGTACTTTATGTCGTTGATAGATGATTTTGGATCTTTGTTTTAGATTAGTGTATTTTGTACATAAGTTTTTTTTTGACAAAGCTAAGTTATATGATACATATATATTTGTCTTGTAATAATTTATGTCAATACAAAGCTAAAAATATGTTAAAGAGTTTTTAAATGTAGATTTATAAACTAAACATTACAAAGACTTAACCAAAAGACAGTCTTAGAAAATTATATTGGCTTCATCCAATCTGATATTTTCTTAACTCAATTTTTTAAAAATTGATAGATATTTTGATGCATATAGAAAACATAATAAATATATAGTTTTTTTATTCTTTAACTACTTGAAAGCTAACTATTTCTATCTAATTTATAAGGATTTTTTTTTAGTTTATGCAGTCAATGATTGTTTTTTTTTTCTTTTTTGTCGATGCAGTCTATATTATTATTTGCACAGTGATTTTTCGCAACGAAACTCTCATGTTAAAAGTTAGAGTGGTTAATATCTATTATACCCTTAATGAATAAACTATATAAATTAACTAAAATATAAAAACTAATTTACAATGTATTTTACTAGATTAATTGTTAAAATTAATAACAAGAAGAATTATTCAAAATCTAAAAAATAGATTTCAGTTTAAAAAGATAATTCTTATATATATTGTGTTGTTATCCAAAAATATATTTTATAAAAATTAAAATTCATAAATACATAAGCAGAAAATCATAAATTAATATTAATAAACAATTTTAATTGTATATTTGAAAAAAAATATTGAATTATTTTTTTGATTTATTTACTAATAATCTATATATTAAAGTATGTTTTCAAAAAGAAATTATAGCATATAAGAATTTTCTAATGAAAATATAACAAAATTTTATCTTTATAGTATTTTAGTTAGTAATTCATTTACTAATAATAAGTAATTATAAATTTGCTAAGCCCGCATGTGCCGGAAAAACTCATAGTCATCGATTAGTTAGAAAACACAAAGAATACTTGAGTATTAAATATATGATTTTTAGTAATTTAAACCCTCAACTAAAGATTAATCGTAAAACAAACCCTCAATTAAAAATCATGTGAAATAAATCCTCATCTTTATTTCCGCTAATACTTTCGCCCCTCCGTAACTTTTTTCGTCAACTTTTGACAGAGAAACGTTAACTATTAACGAAAAGGTTACGGAGGGGCGAAAACATTAATGGACATAAAGATGAAGGTTTATTTCACAGAATTTTTAGTTGAGGGTTTGTTTTACGATATATCTTTATTTGAGGGTTTAAATTACTAAAACTCCTTATTTTGAGAAAATCTTATAAATATTGATTATTTAGTAATTTTATGACCGATTTTACTGTTAATACAAACTCACTTTTGTTTGTCAAAGAGACCTTGCACTCCTTCAGTAAATCTAACTTGTAGCTATTCTTGTTTCTCGTTCGCTCTTTCACAAAAAAAACTTGTTTTTGAGATTAGTGTTTCGTTTATGTTTTGCATTAGTCAATTCACACAAAGAAACAACCTAAGAATGGAGTTTAAAATTCAGGTATTGGATCCTCATTCTGGTGAGGAATCCACATTAGCTCAGACAACAAATCAGTCGGACCAATCTCCCGTCAATTCGTTCTTTCTTCTCTAACAAATTATCTCAGTCTCTCAATGCTATGGTAAAATCTCCCTCAGTGTGTTCATCTTTCAGTGGTCATCCTATAAACACAGCTCTTTTAATGCCATTTTCAGTGGCTACATCTCTCAAACCAGTCACTCATGCATTTCCATCCGACCCACCAACCAATCTTAGAAAAGACAAAATGTAACTAAAAGATAACTTGTCCTAATTTAAGTTATAGATATGTTAGAGGCGTTCACTGAGACACCATTCTACACATTAACTGTGGTCTTATTTCTGTATTTGTTTATGTTTATGTTTAAATTAGTAGGTTCTCCATTGATTTGGGAAGCTCAGACAACTTAAGAGAGTTAGGTATTCAATGTTCCACTCCAGCTTTACAAGATGAGGTTTGACTTGTTCCAAAATTCAATAAAACTGGTTCACTTTATGATTGGTTTAACTATGATTTTATTCATTTTTTTACTTTATTTTTCATTACAGGTTTATATTAAGAACTTTTTTTTTGTAATTTAAACCCTCAACTAAAGATATATCGTAAAACAAACCATCAACTAAAAAACCTTTGAAATAAACCCCCATCTTTATATCCATTAATGTTTTTGCTCCTCTGTAATCTTTTCGTT